GAGGAAGAGGAGGAGGAAGGGAGGAGAGGAGGGGAGGAGGAGAGGAGGAGGGGAGGAGAGGAGGAGGGGAGAAGAGGAAGAGGAGGAGAGGAGGAGGGCAGGAGGGGAGAAGAAGAGGAGGAGAGGAGGAGGAAAGGACGAGGAGTGGAGGAAGAGGCAAAGAGGAGAAGGACGAGGAGGAGGAATAATCATAATCAAGTTTTCCAATTGCATATGAAGGGCAGTATTTTAAGACAAGGAAGTAGACCAAGAACAGCAGTAGGAAATTAGGCCAGTGGTTCTTCAAGTGAGATCATTGGACCACTAGCATGGAACTCTCCAGGAGTTGCTGGCCAAAATCTCTAGAGATGAGCTCCTTCATGGGTTCAGCTAAGTTTAAGAATCGCAATCACTGGTTGAGAATACATTGTCAAAAAGAAAAAAAAGAAGAAGAAATTTCTTCTACATGTGAATAGCAGCAAGACATTGCAAAGTATTTTCCAAGAAGTGGAAGGCATGACTTGTCTGATGGCAGGACCCTGCAGAGGTGAGCCATTTCAAGGTTCAGCTGAAGGGACCACAGTGTCTGCTTCCAGCCCATCCTTTAGGCATTTTTCTTGGTCACTGTCACCCAGTTCAAAGGCTAGGTCTGGGGACAGCCTTATGGGATTCCCGAACTACTTAGTCTCTTTGTTCTTTTCCAAAGCCCCCAGAGGGTCTGGAGACTTGACGATAGGAAGATCATGGCCTTTGCCAAAGTCACTTTCAATTAGACAATGCGTTTTTTCTGTTTATAGACTCATAGAGATCTGAAAACACTACTACTGTGGAGGGACTACAGGAAGCTCTCTGATTAAGATAGATTTTGAAAAATGATTTCTTGGCAATATCTTCCGATTACAAATAAATTGGTGATTAAAAATAGAATGAATGTTAAATCTTTTCAAGATGTCATAACAATATATAGCAGCAAGATTTCTTTTCTATAGAAATAGATATATATAAACCCAACCACCAAAATAGAGACTTCTCAGAATTATTTAAGAGGCATTGAGAACTCCAAGTTAAAAATAGCTTTTACCAGACCCCAGGAGGAACAAGTAGAATCAGCAATTATTTAACAGCAAGAACCAGGTCATAAAGATTCTTTAAGTCCTGTCTCAGGGACCTAGACAAAAAGACAGTTCAGCACTCAGCTCTGCTGTGCACGGCAGGTTAGGAGCACAGCACCTCAAGTCAGATCAACAGACCTGCCTTGCCTTTTAATCCCAGTGTTACCTCTGAGCAGTTTTGCGACCTTGGGCAACTGACAACTCTCTAAGCCTCAGTTTTCTCATCTGCAAAATGGGAATAATGATAGTTGTAGCCTCCTGTAGGTAGTTGGGAGGATTACTCAAGCTAACATTTGTAGGCCTCTGGCTCACCCTATCCGGCACAGAGTAAGCACTGGTACATGGCAATCATTGCTGTTATAAGGATTTCTACCACTTTTACTGTAAACCAAAGACTTTCTGTAATGCCAACATATTCAGGACACTCCGGAAGAACTCTTTTTGGATGGGGTCAGAGAGGGAAAGAAGGTTGCTGCTTAGGAGCATTAAACTTCTGGATTTTAATTGTGTGTATCCATTAAGTCCCTCTTCTGAGATTCGACCTTCTCTAGGAACTGCCTCCTGCTCCCAGTTTCTCGCAGCAGGTGATTCCCACACCCACCACACTTTGCCAGCTCGTTATATTCTGTCTTAGATTTTCTTTTAATCTCTTCATGTGCACAAACTCCACCTCCCTCAGCCAGACTATACATTTCTCCTGGGTTTAGTTCATACCATATGCCTCATGTTTCTATTTTTCCATCTCTTCCAGCTTAACACACGGTATATATGTGGTGGGTAAATAAGTAAGAATAAGAGTATGAGAATATGTAGGTCACTATTAGCTCTCTTCTCCTTCTTCCTTCCCCTAATCATAGCAGTCATAATAATTAGATTAATAGTAAAAGCTTCTGCTTATTGAGTGCTTCCTGTGCACTAAATGAAGCACTTTAAATGCCTACCTCCCTGGACCATCCACATCACCATGTGACCATGCACTGGGTGGCTGCCAAGGGAACTGTGACGAGAAGAGCAATACCTAGGGACACTTTGCAGGCCTCACTTAGCCAAGTTCAGAAGTATGCTCTGAGCAAGGTGCCATCAGCTCCAGATCCTGAACAGAAGACACCAACCTCCACCCCTTTGTACCCATCACAATCCAACTGATGGTTTTAGTGTAACTGTTATCCAAAATTCCCCAAAGCAGAGATTTTGGAAGCTCTCCAAACAGATTTTTAAGGACAGGGGACTTGAACCTTAGAGGGGCATGGGGGACATGGGTTGAAAGTTCCTTCCAGTGTTTCCTGTATGTCTTCGAAGGTTGGCCATAATGTACATTAAGAAATATATATTATACTGCAAGTCAGCTCTATATCTCAACTTTTTTTTTTTTTGAGATAGAATCTCACTCTGTTGCCCAGACTGGAGTGTAGTGGCACCATCTCAGCTCACTGCAACTTCTGCCTCCTGGGTTCCAGCAATTCTCCTGCCTCAGCCTCCTGAGTAGCTGGGATTACAGGTGCGAACCAGCACACCCAGCTAGTTTTTGTATTTTAAGTGGAGATGGGGTGTCACCATGTTAATCAGGCTGGTCTTGATCTCCTGAACTCATGATCTGCCTACCTCGGTCTCCCAAAGTGCTGGGATTACAGGCGTGAGCCACCGCGCCCAGCCTGTATCTCCATTTTTTATGAAATGATGTTTATGTTTGCGTGAGGTCCTCTGATGTTTTTCTATTTCATTCTTTCTTTAAAAATGATGGCTGTGAGAATGTGAAGAAATTGGAACCCTTATACGTTGCTGGTGGAGATGTAAGATGGTCTAGTTTCTTTGGAAAACAGTTTGACAGTTCCTCAAAATCTTAAACATATTGTTACCAAATAATCTGGAAATTCCACTCCTAGGGATGTATCCAAGAAAAACAAAAACGTACATCTATAGAAAGACCTGAACGTGAATGTTCACAGAAGCATCATTCATAGGAGCCAAAAGATAGTAACAACCAAATGTCCATCGCTGATAAATGAACAAAATGTAGTACATCCCTACAATGGAATATTATTCAGCGCAAAAGAAAACCAAGTACTGATGTATGCTACAACATGGATGGCCCTTGAAAACATTCTATTAAGTCAGAGAGGCCATCACGAAACTACATATTACAAGATTCTTCTCATATGAATGGTCCAAAATTGGCAACTCTATAGAGACATAAAGTGAATTTGGTTGCTGGGAGGGAAGATGGGGAACATGTGGAGTGGGCATGGAGTTTCTTTCCCGGGTGATGTAAAAGTCCTACAGGTAGAATACGGCGATGGTTGCCCAATACTGTGAATGTAAGAAATGATTGAATATACAATGTAAGGGGTAAATACATGGTACATGAATTCTATTTCAGTAGAGCTATTTTAAAATGATGGCTGTGATCCAGTAAATTGATTCCACCACTCCCAGTGGGTCATGCTGCCCTCCCCGCACCAAGCCCTGTCCTGTCCTTGTTATGAGAGTCACTGCTTGGCCTAGACGGGGGGCGGGGGGGTAGACAGCCCGCTTTGGGTGGGTGCTGGACTGGCACATGGAGGGGTGAGCATGTTGGCAGACGGGTGAATGCCATCTGCCACGCAGTATCCACAGCCCTCTACGGTGAGTGGATCTGGATCACATCTTCAGCACCACTTGCCCTGCTAGAAGACTGCATTTCTCAGCCTCCCTAATGGCTCAGGTGGCCAAGAACAGAAGCCCTTGGTGAGATTTCTGGACGATTTCTTCCAATTTGTTTCATTGTGTTAAAATACACATATAAAATTTACCATCTTCACCATTTTTTTAGTGTAGAGTTCAGTGGTGCTAAATACATTCACGCGCTTGTGAAACTGCCACCAGCCTCCATCTCCAGAATGCTTTTCACCTTGCAGAACCGAAGCTCTGCACCCATTAAACATTAACTCCCCACTGCTCCCTCCCTCCAGCCCTGGGCAGCCTCCATTCTGCTCTCTGTCTCTGTGAATCTGACTACTCTAAGAACCATGTATAAATGGAATCATACAGTGTTTGTCTTTCTGTGACTGGCTTATTTCACTCAGCATAATGTCCTTAAGTCTCATCCACTTTGTAGCATGTGTCAGGATTTCCTTCCTTTTTAAGACTGAATAATATTGCACTGTATGTGTAGACCACATTTTTAAAATACATTCATCTGTCTAAGGCACTTGGGTATGCAAATATCTCTTTGAGATCCTACTTTTAATTCCTTTGGGCATATACCCAGAAGAGGAATTGATGGCTTATAGGGTAATTGTGTTGTTAATGGTTTTAGGAATTGCCACACCATTCCCCACAGTGGCTGCACCATTTTACATTCCCACCCATAGTGTACAAGGGTTCCCGTTTCTCCATATCATTGCCAACCCTTATGATTTTCAGTTTTGTTGACAACAGCAGTCCTCATGGGTGTCTGGGAGTGACTTCTGGGAGTGGAGAGGCTGACTTGGATGGGGTGGTAAGCCCTTTTGCCCCTTTCTCTTCTTCCCACCTCCAATTTGAACCTGATGGCTCAGTCTCCAGAAGCTATCTTATGACCCTAGGGAGGAATCAGCACCAAGGCTGGTGAAGCACAGGAGAAGAGACTGGGTCCCTGATCCTTTTCTTGAAGGCACCTTGGCTACCTGCCTCTGCATTTTTTTCCTGTGGCTGAATAGGTCCCTAGCTTGCTTATACGACTGAGTTGAGTCTCTGGTATTAGTAGCCAGAGGAATTTCCAAATGATGTGCCATCTAAATGAACACAAACTACCCCCATTGCATGTGAGCTTCAGAAAGACCCTTTAAGGAAGAACAGCTCCCCTCCCACCCAGGCCTTGCCACCTCCCCTGTCCTCTGGAAGAACATTTCCTTGAGTCCCCTCTCCAAAGGGAGAGGAGGAGCCCAGTACCTTGTGATCTTGAATATCCTCAGCAGCCGGACGCATCTGAGCACGGAGATGCCCAGTGGGGACATGATCTTGGTCTCCACCAGGATGGTCTCCAGGATGCCGCCACACACGACGAAGCAGTCAAAGCGGTTGAAGAGAGACACAAAGTAGGCTTGCAGGCCCAGGCTGTACATCTTCAGGAGCATCTCTGCCGTGAACAGGGCCAGCAGGGCCTTGTTGGCTGTGTCTGGCAGGCCCAGGAGAGGGATGACATCCAAGCAGGGCCAGAGAAGGGCAGAGAGGGAGGCAGGGAAAGGAAATACAGTAATTATCTCCATTGGAAGGAAGATTCCCCATGACACCTCTCCCATCCACCTTGGCCAGAACAGAACAGTTAGGGCCAGGCCAACAGGAAAGGGCTCTCTCGTCATAATCATAACGGACATTTACTGAGCATCTTCCATACACCATAGGCTCGGCATACATAATCTCTACTCCTCACGGCAGGCCTGTGGGGATGGCACCATCTTCGTCATGCCCATTTTCAGAGACAAGAAAGGAGGTTCAAAATGGTGGGTAATCTGTGCAGGCCAAGTGCCAACAGCTGGAGCTGCACTGAGTCTGACTTCTCCAACACTAGAGCCCCTGCCTCCCAGGACTCTGGAAAGCAGCTGTGGAGGATGGGGCCAGGTCTTGATTGCCCAGCAGTGACGCTGAGGCCTGGCTAGTGGGACCCTTGTCTAGTGGCCCAAAGAAGGGTGATGAATATGAACAACCCATTGAAGACGGTTCCTCGTGCTCAGGCCCGATTCTCTTCCCTGCCTTTTTGCTCATTCCATCCTCATTGTTCTGGTTAAGGCCACCTCAGGGCTGCAGGAAGGCCCCCAAGTATTTAAAATCCATGCTGGGAAGTTGGCAGCCAGGGGTCTGAGATAGGCAAACAAGCTGTAGCTCCTATCCTTGTCACCCGGGCCCAGCTGTGACTTTGCGACAGGCCAATGGTGTGGGCCCAGTCAGGGCAGCCGTGACTGTTTCTAACAAGGTAGTGCATTTTATGGTGGGGATTTGGAGCTGCCAGGCCCTTGATGTCTCCAGCACAGCACCTGCCAAGAGCCCTGACCATCGGCTGCTTTGCCATCACCCATGCCTGTGGCGATGCCCTCCCTGGGCCTTGGGGCTGAGTTACCAGGAGGAAACCAGGACAGAGCTGGGGCCGCTGCTCACCTTGGACTTCTGTGAGCCAGTGGGGCTGGTTGTAGTGCTCAGAGGCAATGGTGAGCGTGTTGAGGAACACCAGGAAAATCACCAGCCAGTAGAAAACATTAGACTTGACTGCGGCGCGGCACTTTCTCCTGCAGAACCGATTCCATCGGCGCCAGTAGCGGCTGGAAAGGGGACAAGGAAAGAAGGGTGGGGCTGGCTGTGAATTCAGGTTTCCTCTATAATCCAGGATGCACCACCCTGACTCGTCTCACCCCTCACTGACCTGGCCTTGCTACAGCAGCCCAACCTGGTGGCAAGAAGCCCAGCTTCTCACCCAGCTAACCAGGCCCTGCCACCTTGGGGATGCCCCCGAACCCCTGGAAGCCAACTCCTCCAATTCTCCTATCTGTGAAACAGGAAGAGGGCAAACCTCATGGGGTTGTTGTGAGGATGAATCAAATACCTTATAATGCATCTGGCTGCACTGAAGTTGAAGGTGCTCAACAAATAGAAGTTTTTTTTTTTTTTTTGAAAAGTGGCATTCTTAGAAGTGTTGCAAGCAATAAGAGCACTATTAGCAACAGTGGTGGAGGGACCCAGTACTGTATCAGGCACTCTCACATCTCTCCAATTCTTTCAGTAATTCTGCAAAGCATGCATTATCCTGATTTTTGTGGAGGAGAAAACTAAGGGCTGGGAGGCTGAGTACCTCAACCGATGCCACAGCAGGCAGAGCCAGGCGGGGTGTTCTGCCCAGCCTCTTGGCCCTGACTCTGTGCGCTGCATCCATATGGTGGGAGGGATTCACCTGGAGCACGGGGTCTTTGTTTTTCTGGATTATAGAATCTTTCCAGAATCTCATGAATGTTTTTAATTCTGCCTTTCAGAAAAATGGGCGCATCCCCATACACACACCTTTACGTGTGAGCCCATGCAGCACACAGACCCCTCAAACCTCATCCCTGGTCCATGGAATGCTCCCAGTATCTTGGTTTAGGGGCCTTCATCAGTGATTCTCAAACCTGGCTACACACAGAATTGCCTAGGGAACCCTCCCCAAAACCCCACTGGTCCTGAAGCCCCAAACACCAAACAAATTAAATCTGATTCTCTGGGGGTTGGGTATTTTTAAATACCCGCCAAAATACCATCGGTGTTCTTAAGGTTCCCCAGGTGGTTTTAATGTGTAATGAGGATTGAGAGCCATTGGCTAAGATGATCCCAAAGAAATACATTTTAAGATTCTATGGCGGACGTGTTTCATCTTCCTGATACAGAGAAAATATACAGCTCTATTTAGTTGAATTCAGTAGAAGACATGGTTAATAAATGGCTGCACTGCACAAGGAGAGAGGAACCACAGCTGGAGAGGTGCTGTGGAGGAGACCGCAGGGGCCATGCTGAGGGCTTGGGGAGACGGAAAGGACATGATCAGATTGGATGGAACACCCCACAGAAACAGCTCCTCTGTCACCTTCTAGACCGAGGAGAGTATGAGGAATTCTCTTCCTGTTCTCCAGGTTAGAGATGATGAAGGTAATAGATTTATTAATGGAAAAGATGATACAGAGCTGGCAGCAGTTTTGGGGGCAGAATCAACAGGCCCTTGAGATGGGTGGACGTGCAGGATGAGAGAGGCAAGTGTGGAAGAGACTGCCGACGTTTCCAGCTGGGCTGCTTTGGGAGGGTGGCACAGAGGAGGGGAGTGGAGTTCCGGGGACGGGGTCAACAATGAGAAGCATGGGGTGCTTTGCTTTGGAGCACCTGCAGGGCTTGAACACAGGCCCACCAGGCACTGGAGACAGTTCCTGCTTGGGTAATGAAGGCAGGAAGAGAAACAAAGCAGAATTCTGGTGATAAAGTACATGAATATCTGTATTTTTCCATAAAATGATCTCCTTTCTATGAATCTTTCCAGTCTAGACAGACATTCCTCTAAATAAGCATGCAGAATCTGCCTCGGGCAGAGATTTCAAACCTCACACTGCAGCCCGTTAGTGGGTCATGAAATCTATTGAGTAGGTCATGACGGGCACTGAATAAAGGAATAGGGTGGAAAATATCACAGTGCATGTCATATCATAAGGAAACTGCTTTTTAAAGTAACCACTAAAGAAAAATGTATTTTACATAAAACTTGGTTTCTGATGTGCGCGTGTGGGTGTGTCTGTGTGTGGCGTATTGTCTGGGTGTGAAAACTGGCCTCTACTTTAGCACGAGGAAGCTGAACTGAGGGCCTCTCTTCTAAACCAGAGTCTATGGTGTGAGCCTGTTTGTCCAGTGTTCCTGCCAGAAACAACCATCAAACCTCCGCGTCGCCTCTTGGGTCGGGTTATGCTAGTGGTGGAGCAGCAGGCCCCATCTGGGTGAACCTGCTGCTCCTTCCCAGCCCCTGGGCACATAGCAGCACCACATGTGGGTGCGCCCCAGGGGGCAGCGACAGCTCTGTGCTGTGTGCACTGTCCTCAGCCTCAGTCCTCTACTTCCAGAGCAGAAGCCCCTCCAAACATCACCAAACTCCAAGGTGCCAGGGACAAGTAGTGTTCTGAGGTTCTAGGATGTGGACCTGGGCTGTTACGGATCCCTGCACCCACCCCTAAAATTGCCTCTTGGAGTAGCCAGACTTCATCCACCTTTCTACTGTCATTTTTCTATTGATGGTCTGCAGAAAATCCCGTTACCAAGCCTTTGCTAAATCTGTGAAGAGGTCAGGAGACCGAAGCGTGATCTAAGAAGGGTGCTCTTTCCTCAGGACTGCAGGGAGAGCTTAGTTTTTGGCCTAAAGAGCAGGGAGGGAAGAAAGGATTAATCCCCTTTAATCCTTTAAAGGTTCTGCTCTGGCTTGAAGGCCATCTCCAGTGAGTGCCACACTTTTCATGGGACACTTGCCTACTACTTGGGGGAAAATCCACTACACAGGGCAGTAGGCCACCAGGTCAAAAATATGGTTTGCAATCCGTATACTGAAGAGATATCTGCACTCCTCCGTTCACTGCAGCACTATTTACAATAGCCCAGCTACGGAATCCACCAGCAGATCAATGAAGTGTCCATCAGCAGATCGATGAAGAAAATGTGGAACATGTACACAATGGAATATTGTTCATATTGTTCAGCTATAAAAATGAATGAAATTCTGTCATTTGCAACAACATGGATGGAACTGGAGGCCATTAGATTGCGTGAAATAAGCCAGGCAGGCACGGAAAGACAAATTGTGCATGTTGCCACTTATATGTGGGAGGTCAAAATTAAAACAGTTGAACTCACGGATATAGAGAGTAGAATGATGGTTATCAGAAGCTGGGAAAGGTAATGGAGATGGTAAATGGGTGAAAACATACAGTTAAATAGAATAAATAAGATGTAATATTTGATCATACAACATAGGAGAGATGGTGACTATGGTCATGATTATTTATCGTATATTTAAAAATAACTAAAATAGTGGAATTAGAATGTTCCTAACACAAAGAAATAATCAGTGCTTGAGGTGGGGAATACCCCAATAACCCTGGTTTGATTTTTACACATTGTACACCTGGATCAAAACATCACATGTACCCCATAAATTTATACACCTATTAGTGCCCATAAACATTAAAATTTTTAAACCTAATGATTTCTAAATGCACTTCGGGATTCTTGCACCCCCAGGCATACTGCCCTGGATCTGAGGGAGGATGGTGGAGGGTGGACAGGGGGACAAAGGAATGGGACAATGAGCCCCAGATGGTCCTCTTGAGAGGTGACCTCTGAAGTCTGCCAGATCTTGATATTAAACAGTCTTATCTTGCAGGGCCTGCCTCCGCTTGTTTCCTGTGATTGTGATTATTAATACTGTACAGAAACTTGGCAAGGTAGTTTTTTTTCCCCTAAAAAATGAATTTTCAGGACAAACTCCTATCTGGTCTTAAATAGCTGACAGTGGAAGTTGCAAAGAACATGTTTTAAATAGATACAATCTCAAGTTCCAGAAATCACTGATAATTGTTATTCAGAGTCCAAAGCAATCATGGTTGCTTTCTTTACAGTATATAGAGCTGTCTTAGAGTGGGCTTATATGAGAACTTGATTATGCTCCTCTTTCCTGATGCTTGGGGGCAGTGGGTGTCGGTGCTGTGTGGTCAGGCCTGTTCCATGGATCTGGAGCTGCTATGCACAGACCCCTGAGGAGCGGCCAGAGTGGACAGGACGGTGTCCCTTTAAACCAGGGTGCTCCTGAGCAGACCCATTCGGGAGAGTCACATGGATTGGGGCTGGGGTGGGGGTGGGGTAATTACTATCCAGAGAAAGTATTTAAAGATAATTATACACCTCCCACTCTTCAAAATATAGCTTTGCTTGACAACTGGTTTCCTGGCAACACTTCCTACTGTATAATAAATGTAATGGTTTATCAGAATGTGTAAATTTATTTGTGTTTACATATGCATGGAGGACACAGAAATTAAATAATAAAATAGGGAGGAGAAATTTGCCTGCTATTCATGTTCCCTTCACATTAACTGGAAGTCATTTTCTCTAGAAATAGAAACTTCCATATGTAGACACAGGAGAGAAGGATGGATACGAATGGGTCTCGTCTATGTCTCTAAACTTTGGGATCACTGCATTCCCACGGGAAACTTCTGCTCTCACAGCCCTGGCTATGCCTGCTCTTCTCCCTATGCGGGGCCTTGCTCTTGCCTGTCCAGCTGCATGGCAGGTCCTCCCAGCTACCAGAAACTCCACCTTTGCTCCATCTTCTCTGTCCTGCCCCTCCTGTGGGGCTTACACTGAGTCCCAGCTTCTCCACGATGCATGCTTCTAGTTTTCCGAGCCTTGGCACTCTGCAGTGCTTACTGTCTGCATTACTCATTTTAGTTCTACGTCCAGGAAAGATTTACAAAACACCGACCATGGGCTAGGTAACAGATACTCGGCAGCTAGCACGATGCTCATAGGCCTCCTCTGTGTAAAACCTATACAGAGACACAGATTACTAAGTGAGCAGCCACAGCAGGGCCTAAGTGCTGGGCAGGTCCACACGGGAGCACACAAAGGGACACCTTAGCCAAGAAGGGTCCCCAGAGGAAATGAGTTACCATTTCCTTGTATTGTCAGGTACTTTTTATTTTTATGGTTCCTGCCTCTCCACGGAGCTCACGAGACCCACGAAGGAATGGGGCTGTGTCTTACACTTGGTTACAGACCCACAGGACTCAGCACAGTCCATCCTGCACAAGAACCCCTGGCTGACGGCATGACTGAGCAGCAGAATTGAACTCCCGGCAAATGGACTACCTTCCTCTGGAAGACGAGGCTTAAGATTCCTGGACCTCTTGTAACCCAGGGCTGAGGGCGGAGGTGAGGAGAGGGCCGTGCTCCTAAAATAGTTCGCTTAACATGCAATGGTGGGTGGGCATCTGGAATCAGACAATATGAAAATGGTGGCCCCTGCAGGCTCTTTCTAGTGACTAGAGTAAGTTTCCACCTTTTTTTTTTTTTTTAACCAGGACCAACAACAAACACAGAAAACCATTAAGTTTAATTCTCATGTAAATAAGCAACTTTACAAAGGCTATTAGAGATTGGGGCAAATTTGGATTTGTGCCTTGTTGCTGATGGTATGGCAGAAGCCAGAAGTCAGAACACTGGAAGCGCATTTCACTGAAGACTGGGCATGCCTGTCCTCCCCGTTTCAGAATTCCATGAGGTTCACTTAGGAACTCCATAAAGTTAAGATCCAGAAACTCCAACTTCTCTAATTAATCCCTTCAGGTTGCAAAAGACTTCCTGAATCATTTGTTTCATAACTGTTTACATTCTATTCTGAACAGAGAGCTCCAAATGTCACAAATCTTTTATTTTAACTAATTCCTCGAAGTGACAACCTGGATTACCAAGGGAATACGCTACTATGGCTTAACTATTATAAGTCCATTAACTGGCCGAATTTTCCCTGAGGGTTCCGTTCTCATATTTCCTTTAAAGAAATCTTGACTTTGGATCATTCTGTTTTGCAAATGGAATAGGCCAGTTTGAGACTCAAATTCTATTATCTGTAATTATTAAACTGTCTCACCTGAGAAAATGATTAGGACTAGTTTGATAATGTTTGCAACATTTTCCATCTATGTGTAGCCTTTGATATTCCCTAAACAGACACATCAGCGAACTGCAGAATCTAGATTAGACAGCTGCTGTGTGATACCTGCTCATGTGTGAAACCTCCAGGGCCACGTGTCCTTGTGTGGCAGCTGCTAGCGACATGCAGCTACCGTGCAAGGGAAAAGTGGTCAGTCCAGACTGAGGCATGCAGGAGGTGCAAAACACACTGAATTTCAAAGACTTAGGATGAATGCAAATTATCTCATTAACAATTTTTATATTAATTACATGTTGAAATAGTAATGTTTTAGAGATGTTGGTTTAAATAAAAGAAATTTCCTATTCCTTTTTATTTTTTAACCTGTCAACTAGAACATTTTAAAAAGTATGTATGTGGCTTGCATTATATTTCTGTTGAATAGCATGGCTCTAAAGTTACGCACTCTGCGGACACACTAGTTATGCAGGAACAGGGTTTACCAATCCTGGGCAGCACCTCATTACTAGGATGGTCCAGTGATTGGCAGGAGATCCCCTGGGCCTTAGCTCTGACTCAGCCATACTGGAGCCCTGTGATCTGGGCCTCTTGAAGCCTCAGGATCCTCATCTGGAAATGGGTTCCAGTGACAGTGCCAACCTACTAGCTCTAAGCCTTTAGGAGAACAAAATCTACTCTCTGAATTGCTGCCATGTATTGAGGGGTGGCTGCAGAAGTCCTTCCCAGAGGCAGATGGTCAGGGTTGAATGGCCAGCACATAGCAAAGCCTCAGAGCCAAGAGAGACTCCAGGGGTTTACAGGCACCACAGCTCTTTCCTTCTTGTTCAAAAGCACAGCTTGCACCATAGATCACTGGATCAAAATAATGTTCCCCGGAGTGTTCCAGGCAATCTCTAACTTGAGACACAAGAACGTAATTTTCCCTTCCATCCTCTGGATCTTGTTCGTTCATTCATTCATTAATTTACAATTTATTCACATGCACAAAATGAGAATGATATTTTGGAAATATTTTCAAGTGTATTTTTAATCCCTTACTCTTATTGTGTAGGGGGCTTTGGAACTGTTAAAAGCACAACATGCTTTCTCGGCTTTGACTGTCAAATTAGATATTTTGTTTGAATCTTTGTTAAGTCTTACTGGGGCAGGATCGTTCATTTATTAATTCACTCACTTACTCAGCAAATATTCCTTAGGTCCTTGTTATATACCAGCCACTTCTCCAGATGCTGGAGATAAAGCGGTAAGAGCCAAGCATTAGTGAGAGAGAGGACTTTTTATATTTCTGGAGCCCTTTCTCTGTAATAAGAGCTAGATCTGATGGGCCTGACCCTAGAATTTTTATGTAGAAGAGGTTTTGGTTTGAGGGAAAGAGGAATTGGGGAAAAAAACCTGTATTTTCTAGTCCCAGTGAAATGGGAGAGAAAAAAGATATCGAAGTGGAGCAAAAGTCAGACACCAGGGTCCTCATTTGATTTTTAGCCCTTGGGTGCCACACTTCAAGAGGTTAGCTGGGTTGCTTTAGAAACACCCAGATGGCCAGGGCTGGTGGAGAGCCTCGGCAGCTCTTGGAAGATCACTCCTTGGCTTGAAGCTTATCCTGGATGTTACAGAGGGCGTGATGGGACAGGGGTAGGTCAGCGAGCCTGTCATAGTGCTGCTGCCTCCCCAGCTCCTTCAGGGAGTGTGAGGGACTTGGAAGTGTCTGTGTACTCCAGCTGAGGTGTAGAGGTGCTAAAGTCAGTGGACCAACAGAACTCAGGGGTCAGAGGGTGGAGGTGGAGATTTCAAGGCTAGAGGCGAGTAGAGGGCAGGAAGTGCAGCGGTGGATGCCCTAATCAGATGGACCTCAGCAGGCACCAGTTCAGAGAGCAGTTCAGCCTAGTCTCATGCAGCAGAGATGAGCAAGCATCCAGAGGGCTTTGCATGGCTTCTAGGACCAGCCCTCACTACGTCCTTCTTCCTGGCATCTCGAAGTCCCTCTCCCCCATGTGTCCACCTCTATCCAACAGAGAAGCTGGGACAGAGGCAGTCTGACAGACAAATCACTTTACCTTAAGGGACTGTTTAAAATACAGCACTGGGCTACATTTACTCAGCTGGATGAAAATGTAATGTTCTTTATGCTCCTGCCACATAGTAGATAGGACTAGGGAATCAAGATTAGCTTAATTATGAAAAACAACCAATATTTTTTGGCATATACAAGCTTTGTGGGAGTAGATTCACATTCTGCCTGCACACATCTATCCACTCATTCATTCAACACACATGTATGGATGGTCACCACTGGACAGGCACTGAGCTGGGTACTCTGGAAATCACCCATGTGAGGCACACAGGCAGAGCCTCTGGAGGCAGGGGACTTCGAGCTAGTGATCCGAGTGTGATGTGCTGGGTGCTGTGACAGAGGCATCAGCAAAGCACCAGGAAAGGGAGAGCCGAGTAACTCTCCCTGGAGTTTGCAGAAGGTATTTCCCCGTCCCAGTGAAATGGGATAGAAAGCAGTAACAAGGAAGTGGTCACATCTGAGGCTCTGAACAGAAGTCTGAGTTCTCCAGAGGAAGACACGGGGGCATGGTTGCTTAAGTGGAGGAACAGCTCCATGCAAAGGCCTCAATGTGCACCAGGACGGGGAACATCCATGTAACTGCAAGTTCCCTGTAGGGGGAACAAAGATGATTTTCATGGAAGTGCAGGAAGTAAGGATGGGAGGCAGATGGGGGCAGAGGACTTTGGGGCTTTTTGTAGGTTCTATCATTGTCAAGAGCAGTGACATAGATGGGTGTCATAATCCTGTGTGCTTTCCATCATCCTCCAAGTTCATATCGCACTGTATTCTATAAACATGAAGTAGGTCATGCTAATCACCAGGGTTCACTTTATGTTTCTTTTAACTGGACTTCATCTTAGAAGGGAGGAAGACACATTTGATCTGACAACTTCCTAGGGACATTGCTGCCAAAAAGACAGACAGCCCGAGATCATTCAACAGACACTAAACACTGAATTATTTGTCTGATCTGAGCCATAAGCTTTTTCTTGATGGCCATACAGAAAGCAGTTACCCCCTTAGAAGAACACCCCTTACCCTACTGGCAACTCGTAGGCATTACCTTGGGCCACCCAACAGGGCAGCTGAGGACAGAGCTGGTGGCGGAAGGAAGAGCAGCGTGTGTCTCACTCACCTGAACTTTGACTTGGAGATCCGGTGGCTGAAAGAGAAAAAGAAAATGTCACCAAAGGATGTACACACACCTGCATTTAAAAGAGCTTCAACAGTCCCAGGGAAATTTGATGTTCCCACTGGAAGGAGGCATGGTATGAATTAGAACAACTTGGGAGAGAAAAAACACTATTCATGTATTTGAATCTGGAGACTGAGGTCTGGCCAGCTAGTATCTTCTAAGTATAAACACTCCTTGCTTCAGAGGGAGAGTACCAGGTCCTCAGGGTCTGCCCAGAAAGTTCCATGAGGTCAGGTTAGGAAGAGCTGTATCTTGAGAAAAGCTGCAGAGGAAGAAAGGCCTCTCCTGATAACAAGAAGACCCCAATAGCAGAAAAATCACAGGTAGGAACAGGTCAGTACAGACCTCACAGCTGTCCGCCAGAGCCCAGCTAGAGTGGGGTTATGAAGGGAAGACCAGCAAAATAAGCCAGCCAGAAATGGAGGGACCACGACAGACTCCACCCCAGAGCTGCACAGAGGGCCTAGAACCAGCCACAGATTCCGAGGAAAAACCCAGGATGCTGACAGTCACATGCAGCCCTGAAGACCTGGGGATTTCTGGGCAGAAAGCCAGGGTGGGTGTGAGGGTGGCTGCCTGGAAGGGTCATAGAAAGGGGAGGGGGTTCCAAAGAAAGGCAGAACCTTCAGGGAAGTCCTGAGATTCCCTCGTTCATGTAGGGAAGAGTCCAGGGGAGGCAGGAGGCTGGGGGAAGAGGGCAAGAGGGAGAGACTGTAAAAGAGAAGTGTGGAGGAGAGAAGGCTGAGCCAAAGAGAGAGAGACAGGGAGAGTAAGAGAATGTAAGTAGCTGAGACAATTAGAAGGCACCTCTCATCTTGGCTTTGGTGCTAGGAGAAGGGTGTGAACACTGGAGAGAGTGCAGGTGGTGACAATGTTCAGAGGGACAAGCAGAAGGACAGAACGTAAGTTTGGAGACGTGGTGGAGCAACAAAGAGAGGCGTGGGGAGGAAACAGGAGAAGGGAGTCCGGGAGATGACTGTCGCAGGCCTGCAATGTCCCAGCCCGGCACACAGTGAGCTGTGTTGCAGAGCAAGCCCCTCTCATTATTTCTTATTAAAAAAATAAAGCCAGAAGATGTGACAGGTGGCAAAGCCATCATGCATGAGATAATTATATTTCAGGGGCACTGCGAATCAGAGCCAAGTGCCTTTACTGCTCCATAACCTCATCCCACCCCCAAAGACTGCCTGTGAGGGCTGGAGGGCTTAATCACACATTTTAACAGCATGTGGGAAGTGGTCGGGGAGCCCAGGACAGCATTGTTATTTAGGGCCAGTTTAACCAGCAAACAAATGTTTCCCAGCTGCCAGTAGGGTGCTGGGGAACTCAGGTGCTGTCTTCTCCAGCGGCGCCATGCTGAGCCCAGGACCTTTAGCGTCTTCCCAGGCTGCTTTTGGGTGGCTGTCTCTCCTTGCTGTTACCCATAAGCCCAAGTGGGTGACCGTGGACTTCAGCCTTGTCACTCTGACTCTAAGCCTAGCCTGGCCCCAGGCCTTCTTTCAGAAACACCTCAGTAGTCCTGTTGGGGGTGCCCCTCGACAATGACCACCGGCTCTTTGCCATGAGGGGTTCTCTTGCTCGCAGTGCAAGTGGGCTCTGAAAAGCTCCCCTCTGGGGAACCTAACCCTGAGTGTCTGTCTCCCAGGGAAATGACCCCGGGAAGCAGGATCGCTGCTGGGGCTGATAGGAAAGGAGGCCCTGGTTCAAGCATGGTCATGGACTGCAGGTCCTTTTGTGGCATGTGTGCATATTCTAAGCAGGAGATGGACAGAGCCTTCTTGTCTGCTTTGTTACAGGTCCTGATGGGTAAGCCTGGGCACCACACTCGAAGACTAGTTTTATTGCTATTGTTGCTGTTCTCAGGGATTGTGAGCAGAATTTTAGGTTCGCGGGGCCCAAAACATCATCCCCTTTTAAAGGCTGATGCATCTGTCAACTAACCAGCCAGACGGCTGAGTTCCGCATCAGGCGGCTCCTGTCCCTGAGCAGGGGAGGCCACTGCGCAGTGGCAGTGTCTGGAGGCCAAGGAAAACTCCATGGCTGTGGGGAGCTGAGGTGATGACTCTGTGAAGTCCGAACGCCTTGGTTCTTCCTGCTCCCTGTGCACACCTTGGAGTTAATGATTGGACCCCTTTGCCTCCTGGGAGGTGGCCCAGGGCTCTGGGCAGGAAAGGTGCTCCCACAGTGAGAGGACAGAAGCCAGGAGCCTGGGTGCCTTGGGGCCATGGTGCTGGTCCACACGCTGCAGCCCATGCCTCCCTGCTACTGAGCTTCACAATCTCCAGAGAACCCGGAGAACAGCTGGGGGCTCTGGCATCTCTGTGCACAGTGCACTCAGAAGGCTTCCTGTCTTTCTCCACCCTTGTTGTTCCAATGAGGCACAATTCCTACCTAAGGCTGAGCAGATTCTTGAAGAAGAGTGAGGAGGGAGACAAGGCTGGTAAGGAGCATATGAGACCATCAGAACAGACCCACTGTGTGGGAAGTGAGGTTCACGCAACCCCAGGTACCTCCTCTGCCCAGGACTCCCAGACAAGACAAACCTCCTGGGAGACCAAGATTTTCCTTCGTGGTTTTCAGGTTCAGAATTAGAGACAAACCCCAAACTCCTTTTTCCCCCACTTAGTTACTCAGTTTGCATTTGTCATTATTTGAGAAACAGTTGAACTTCTTAAGAGCTATTTATATTTTTAGCCTCTCCCCTCTTCTAGAGGAATAAGTGCCATATGTTTACTACCTGCTGTGTAAAATAGTATTTCCCTGAATTGTCCCAAATTTGCCTTTCACTTAAGTCCGATGGCACTGCAGTCATCGTCCACACTGACAATGCATCTGACTCAGCGTGCTTGGCTTCAGGACTTCCTCTCCACCACAGCTCTTAGTATCGGGAGGGTCACGTCCTCCTGGCCTTGCCATGGCATAGCATTGCTTCCACTCCTGGGTGCTGAGTTCAGAGGCTCCATGACTCTGGCCAGAGCCTCCCTTTCTGTGATCCCTCCTGCTCCTTGTCCTCACTGGATCCTCCCAGTCACTCACACCCTTCAACACCAGCCTTGACTACAGTCATGACAATGTTGCCCTCAATGCCACAGAGATTCCACACCGCCTGGGCCTTCTGCTGTGTCTGCGTGGCCAAGCGCCACCCTGGGTCACCCACTGTCTCTTTTGAGTCCTTGTAGGCTGCAGGGTCCACCAAGAAATATGGCTGACTACACATTCATGGTATCAGTCTCCACCGCGGCATCAGTGCTGCCCAGCAACCTTTGGGCAATCTCTCAGTGGCTCACTGGTTTCAGTCTCTGTACCGTCCTTCAGGTTCCTGTGACCCCGGACCCTTGCTTTGGGGGATGAGCTGGCTGAGATCACTCGGAGTGACTCCTATCACTGACCCCTCCATCAGAGCCTGTTTCTGATTCTATATTCTTTACAGAACTGTAGACTTGGAGAGCTGGAAGGGACCCTTAGATACCACGTGGACCTATGGTTTGCAATATCTCCAGGTGTAGAATGCTTTCTTCATATGAAATCTTGCACCACTGCAGGTGGTTTCCAGGCTCCGTGGCCTCTGCTGAGATGTCAGTCCAACCTTCTTTTTCCCAGAGGCTGGGGCTGAGGCCCAGAGCAGAGTGCTTTGTCCAAGATCCCAGGGCTAGCTGAAGGTTGGTGAGCATTAGACTCTGGGACTCCTCTTCTTTCATTTTCCAATGAGGCCCAGGTATAAAGAAACTCCTCCTTCTTGTGCAGGTTCTGTGTCTCACACTGGCTTTGCTGTCGCCCTTCTCTTCTGAAGCAAGGCCTTGCTATCAGCACTTGCTTCCCCTCCAGCTTGCTTCACCTCTTCCTGCTCACTGACTTTTTCCTAGCCTTGAAGCTTGCCCTCGCCTTTATTCCAATGAAGACCAGCCCTTCCCATAGTCATGCTACTCTTCTTCACAGGCTCCCTTATTCCTCCCCATCCATGGCCTCAGTGCCTGGGTGGGCACCCTGTGCTGGCCGGTTTCCATCCCCTCTCCCTCACTGAGACCAACTCCCAAGACCAGTGCCCTGCAACGGTAGCACCCCACCACACACACACAGCACAGCCCTTCTTTCCCTCTGCAGCCTGACCTGCTGCCACGTCACCTCGCACCTGTGTCAGGCTCCTGTGGCTTCTCACTCCTCCCTGCTCTTTCCCTGACATCGCAGTGATCCTTCAGGAAATCAGCACTAACCAAATCAACCTCCCACTCGGCTCTGTTCTGAATGCCCTTCAGTGACTTCTCACACTCTTCTGATGCAGACCCAAATGGTGAAGGATCTGTCAGGCCCTCAATAAGTCACGTTCATCCTTCTGTTCTCAGCTGGAATTTTAGTCCTGCAAAGAAGCCTTTCCTAACCTGCCAGCCCAAATCAGGGACCTTTGTTATCACCCTGACATTACACTTTCTTTTCCTTCTTAACACTTACCCCAATTTATAGTTGCCTATTTATTTCCTTAGTGTCTCTTCCACACTAGACTGTGAATTCCAGTACGATGGTGTCAATTTCCTCCCCTGCTGTGTCACTGCTGCCTAGCTGAGCGCCAGGCTAGGCAGACTGTTGAACGAATGCACAGATAAACAGCTCTGCCCTGAAATCCCTCCTCCCGTGGCTCCCAGGCCGGCACTGCTTCCTCTTCTCCTAATGTTCCTTTGTCCGTTTTGCTTGCTTGGTCTTATTCTTCTGGGTGTCCATTTCCCAAAATCCAGCCCTTGGTCTTCTGTTTTCCACTTTACTCCGAACAACCCCATCCTATCACCTCATCGGTGGTTCTCATCTTGACAACCTCAAACATGTGTGTCCACCCTGTTCAGAGCTTCGCCTCGCACCTCCGTATCTCGTGGTCTCCTGACACTGCAGGTCACTCTGACTGGGCTCCCGCTTCAGATTTCACTTCCTCAGTATCCTCTTCCCCAGCTGCGATGGCTCCTTCTTCTTCCTTACCTCCACCCGCCTGCCCCTTCTGCCATGAAATACCATATTGCTGTTCTTTCCTCCCTTCCTGGGCAGGAATCATCTTCATCCAGACCTTCTTACTATGCAGCAGTCCTCGCCGCAACCTCATCTTATTACATAAGACTTTTAACCCTTAGCTTTAAAGATCCTGGTCTCTCACTGTCCCCTCAGACCATCACACCCAATCTCAGTTCCCATGCTATTTCTCCTGCCAGGAATGCTGGCAGAGTCTTGGCCCATCATTGTCTGGGGCAGGGTGGGACGTAGGGAGATGGGGAAAGGCCACATTTTATTAGGTGCATATTATAGTTCTGGCACGGTGACTCAGCATTTTGTATGTACAGAGTACAAATGTGGCTAAACATGGGGATAACAGGGACCCTTTCTGCAGAGCTCTCCAGGCTGCAGAGCACATGCTCCGGAGATTGCCAGCCTCCATCCGTGGGGGAATACCATGTTCCCTTTCTAACAGAGCCTCATGCTCTCCTGAAATTCACTCTCCAGTGACTTCCTGGTGTCAGCTCCCTGGTCCCCCCGATATGCGAATTGGGCCATCCCAACAGTCAGAGTTGCAGGGCCTTTGATCATCTCTCTAAGCCTGGTCTTGTGGCAAGACAACAGCAAGGCCAAGAACTGACGGACTCTGAGGGCTTCCTACATGCCTTTCCCTAGAGCTGCTGTTTGGGACCTACTTCCAGAAACTCAAGTGCTTGTTTTGTATGATTCCAAAAGAAGAGGTTTGCACTGCTGCTTAAAAATGTAATTAGCATCGTATTTTAACAACATTTTGACAATAATTGCTTCCCGACAACGCTGAGAAATCTGCAGTGCAGACTCCCTGGTGCCACTGTCAGAGTGAGTGATACTGAAGCTCCATGCTCCCTGGAAATAGCGGCTGTGAGAGCGGCTCCATCTTCGGCCTCCTTCTCCCTCCCCCACATGGCTCCGAGGCCACGCTCAAGGCCGGCATTGCCGTGTTTAGACTCTTCCACAGCTCAGCGTTGTGAAAGGGCTGTGCTTGCCCAGGCTGTCATTCCACAGATGAGGAGGGGAGATGCCACCCCCCACAGATGGAGCAATTCAAAAACACCTTGTGTTTGGGACTGGTCTGACTCAGAGTCTCTGTTTGCAGTTCTTCCAGTGGCCAGGGTAAGTTTACAGTTGTGACACCCAAGGCAACAGAATGTCAGGCTCCACTGCACTTCCGCTTCCCTTACTGGCAAGATGACAGAGCTGCAGGTAAGGACCCACATGCCAGTCTTCTCCCAGTTCATCTTCTCACCTGTCTGCTTTTCTCCCAGGTCGCATTTATCAGAATGGAAAGGGGACCAGCAGGACTCAAGACCCTAACCTTCCCTTAGCTGTCTCTTTGAAGAGGGGTGAAAGGGATTAGAGTGAAAGAAACAGACTTTGGGCCCCCCTCCCCAACACCCTGTATATTTCTCAGATGTGATGAAAAGTGGCTCAAAACCCTATCAGCCCCACCCACCCCTGAAGAAGTGCTGAATTGAAGACTAGCCTCGATTTTAAGACTCACCCCCTGCCAGTGCCATCCTCACCCTAGGGCCCTCTGCTCCCCATCTTGGTCCCCACCTGAGCTTTGTTTCTTGCCACTGCCTCTAATCTCTGCCCTTCCTAGTGATGAGTCAGCCCATTCTGATTTCTAAATGTAGCTTTTCCACCCATGCCCCAGAAAAAGCCCCAGCCCCTGGGCTCGCCGTGCCTACTCACGCCAGCCTGGCCCCACAGTTTTCTCCCTCGATGTCACCTCCAGCCACGTTTTCGGTGTTGACAGACTCGGTCTCACTGGTGGGCATGCTCACTGCAAGAGTCAAAGGAAAGCAGAGCAAGGCATTGAGGGTGGGGAGGAAGGGAGCAGAAGAGCATTACTCTGCAACACGCCCACCACAAGATCCAGTGCAGGTTGGCAGAAGGAGAGCCTGAGCGCACTAGCTGGCCAATCTGCACGGATCCCCTTGACCCATACACCTGTTGCTTGTCCAGGGCAGGTTTTGCTGCCAAGGACACTGTAAACTAGTGGGAGTGTGGGAGGACATCTGGTGATAACAGCGTTTTATATTATAGAATGCATCCTGAAAAAACTGACCACTGAATCCTCTCTCCTCTCCACTCTATAGACTAGAAGAAGCTGCAGAGGCTTTTCCATTTGCAACTACCACTTGCCATAGAAAGAGGAACTTTCATGAAAATATATCATTTTTCCTTACTTCATCCCATCCACCATCTCTAAGGGGCTCCATCCCCAAGAACAGGGCCCAGCCTGTGTGTAGAAAGGGCGTGCCTGCTGCATTCTGGGTGGATGGAGGCCTCCCCTTTCCTGTAGTTGGTTACACCCAGGAGCATACGTGAGACAGAGGGCTTGAGGAGAATGGCCATCCCCAGAGCTAGGCACTAAGGCTCATACTAGCCCTGCAGACATCAGGAGTGAGGAGTGGAAGCGTGCAATCCACAGTCCACACAATTATGTTTAAATGTGGCCAGAAGACAGCCTGTAGGGTTACTATTTCCCCTTTCAGCCGCTCTGACATTCCCATGACAACAGGTTGACTTGGATAGAGACCGTTTAATTCAACGTGTCCAGCATCCTCCCAGGGAAGTTGTGGGCTGGATTTCGAGAACAGTGGGAGTTTCCTAGCTTAGACCCCAGTTTGGTGGCTTTTATTATTATTATTTTCTTCTAAATAAAAGTTTAACTCAAAGAATTTTTCTTCACCTTCCGTCACTCTCTTACTATGACACAATGTGTTCCTTAGTTTTGCAACCCTTATTCTTTAGAGAGACCATCATATCCTTGGTTCTGGTTCTGCTATTCCTCCAGAATAGAACTCCTCATCTGCTGAGAAAGTCACCATCCCTCAGCAGACACAGAATCTGCCATTAGTGAGGGTGTGACCTCTGGTGACAAGTCCCTGTGAGGCTGCCAGAGCCCAAGAAGCACTTCTGCTGGTTGTATGGATAATGTTGATGGATATGGATTTTTCCTGGTTTTCTTTCTTTGGAGAAAGACATGCCAGGTTGGTGAGAAGAGAATCATTTCAAGAACACGGAAGATACAAACAGAAAGTCCACGACTTACCGTATGTTTGACTGCTGCGTGTGAGAGACCTCTCTCATCTTTCTAATAAAATAGGATTAAAAAAAGAAATCCAGATGTCATTTCATAAAACTCCAGGGCTGGATGAGGCTTTAGAAGCTATCTGGCTCTAACTCGTCCTCCTCACTCCACAGGAGGAAAGTGAGGCCAGAGAAGGGATGTGACGCCTTGGGTCACACAGTGTGTTCGCGTGGGGCCAGGACCAGGGCATGGGTGTCGCACCTCCTGAATTATGTTCATTTTGAGTGCCCCAGCCTCAGCCACCTCTGAACTCTACACCCTGGGCAAAAACAAGCTTCTTAAAGCCTCCTAGGTTCTGGGGGCACCACAGGAGGGCCGTGAGTAGCCAAAAGAGGGGACTGAATCCTACAGCATTACACTCACTTGACAGTCTGAAGTCTGCAGATGGTTTTAGGCCTGGGAGCTGGGAAAACAGACCTTCAGAGCTTTCCAGGAGCCCTGCTCAAACCACATTATGGAAGTCATAAAATAGAAACACTTTAAGTCTTCCAATCCATCGATCTCCAGCCATTTCTGACCTAAGGTTTATTTTTAATTTTTTTAAAAAAAGCTCTCCGCCCTCCAGGTATCCTTGTTTGAAGGGCTGAGCCATCTAGAAAAAGTTTTGTGACACTTCATTCCCAGAGCCTTCTGTGTGAGTACAGGGCAGACCTGGGCACTAGAAATAACCACAGCATCTTCTAAATCAAGGCATTGCCTGCACTGGTTCTAACCGTGCATGCACAGTGCCCTCACTCTAGACCAGCACTGCCCTAAGGGAAGGGCTCCTGGAGAAACAGCTCTGCCAGTTGTCATGCCCACTGACTTTATACATATGAAGCAATGATAAGGCAGTAGCTTGAGAGGGATAGGATGCCATCCCTTCACAAACACACACAGGCACAACATATATACATACACACATTTGCACATACACAGAACTACTGTGGCACAAATCATCCAGAGAAACACCCTCCCATTCAGTCTGGTGTGCATTCACACACGTTTACACACACAGAGCACAGGGGAACATTACCATGGGTTTCTGTGGAGTGACTAAACCAAGCAAACTTCCCTTTCTTCTGATCAAGCATGCCCGCCGGAGTGCCTCCTTTCACAGACAAGACGGTCAGTGTCAAGAACCAGGAACAAGACATCGACAGAGCACATGCAGTCAGCCACGGGCGAAAGAAAGAAACAAGGAACTCACTTTCACATAGAACATCCATTTTTATCACCAAAAATAAACCAAAAAACCTCAAACCAATAAAACAAAACGTATAAGAAAACATAACAAAACAGAACCAAACCCCCAACTCACATGAATTAACATCACAAAACAAATGATGGACCCCGGGGAGAAGGAATTACTTCAGGAGAAAGAGTCTATCTGGCGCATCTAATGAGTAACTTTGAGAGGGTTTCCCTGGAGGGGGCTGCCACTCATCCTTCCTGTTTCCTTAGGGAGCTGTCCCCCTTTGCAGGCTCACGTGGGGTCACTGCTAAATTCCAACTGCAGCCCTGGTATCCCCTTCATCCCTGCCCAATAGCCAGATGACTTGTCTTCTTCCTCACATGGGACCACACTGCAAAATGTTCACCTTTAGTGGATTCAATGGCTCCCTTGCTATTTGTACCTGGATGAGTCACGTGCAGGTGGAAAAACAACCCACTGACCTACTTGCTCCTTTGTTCAGTTCAGTAATTCAATTTTATTCAGCAAAGACTCATCAAAGTCCTAGGGCTCACATCCAAAACATATATGTATCTGCTATTAATCAGTTTAAATGGGCCAATAAGTTGTTAAATTGCCTGTCCATGAGTGATCATTTGAGGAAGTTTGTAAACGAGGGAGAAGAATTCTGTGAGCTCCTGCTGGGTCCGGGATACAGCTGAAGAGCAGTAGAATGCTCCAGAAGAGTATGAAGACACTAGCCACTGCACAGGAAAGTGTGAAGACACTAGCCACTGCACGGGAGAGTGTGAAGACAGCAGCCACTGCAGGGGAGAGTGTGAGGACACCAAGCACTGCATGGGAGAGCATGAAGACAGCAGCCACTGCAGGGGAGAGTGTGAGGACACCAAGCACTGCATGGGAGGTTGTGAAGACTCCAGCTACTGCACTGAAGAGTGTGAAGACACTAATCACTGCACAGGAGAGTGTGAAGACACTAATCACTGCACAGGAGAGTGTGAAGACACTAATCACTGCATGGAAGAGTGTGAAGACACTAATCACTGCACAGGAGAGTGTGAAGACACTAATCACTGCATGGAAGAGTGTGAAGACACTAATCACTGCACAGGAGAGTGTGAAGACACTAATCACTGCATGGAAGAGTGTGAAGACACTAATCACTGCACAGGAGAGTGTGAAGACACTAATCACTGCATGGAGAAGGGTGAAGACACTAGCCACTGCACAGGAGAGTGTGAAGGCACTAGCCACTACACGGGAGAGCGTGAAGACACTAGCCACTGCACAGGAGAGCGTGAAGACAGCAGCCACTGCAGGGGAGAGTGTGAGGACACCAAGCATTTCATGGGAGAGTATGAAGACACTAATCACTGCATCGGGAAGGGTAGGTTCTGTATGGACTTAAAGTTCTGGATGTCAGGTGCTTTAACGACTTGCTCAGATAGAGTTTTTCCATTTCATTTGAAAGAACTGGCATGAGTTGTGCTTCCGTGAGGTCACTATGGAGGTCTGGGAATGAGAGAGGCAAGTAAGGCACGATCACAACTTAGGTTGGTGCAAAAGGAACTGTGTTTTTTCATTGTTGGAATTTGCCATTTGGTATTAAAAGACATTCTTAAAGAAATTTGGTTATGCATCATTTTAATGGGCATTTCTCACTTTATGTTTTTTTATTAATGACATATTACTTGGTATTTATTTCATGTTTATTTTAGACTATGGAAATAATGTTAGATAGAGCAAATTCAAGGGATTTGGGTCATAAAGCAGTAGAGACAACCCACAACATCAGCTCATTTGGCCCAGGAATTGCTAACAAACGGTGCAGTGGTGGTTCAAACTGTAACAACCACTAACTGTAGTGTGCGGTGTGGTTCAAATAGTTTCACAAAGAAGGTGAGAGCCTTGAAGATGAGGATAGTGGTGGGATACGGGAAGTTGACAACAACCAATCGAGAGCCATCATCAAAGCAGATCCTCTTACGACTATACAAGAAGTTGCCGAAGAACTCAACGTCAACCATTCTATGGCTGTTTGGCATTTGAAGTGAATTGGAAAGGTGAAAAACCTTGATAAGTGGGTGCCTCATGAGCTGAGCAAAAAAAAAAAAAAAAAAAATCGTTGTTTTGAAGTGGCGTCTTACTCTACTCAACGACAATGAATTATTTCTTGATCAAATTGTGATGTGTGAAGAAAAGTGGATTTTATATGACAACCAGCAATGACCAGCTCAGTGGCTGGATGGAGAAGAAGCTCCAAAGCACTTCCCAAAGCCAAACTTTCACCAAAAAAAGACCTGGTCACTGTTTAGTGGTCTGCTGTTAGTGTGATCCACTACAGCTTTCTGAATCCCAGAGAAACCACTACATCTAAGAAGCATGCTCAGCAAAATCAGTGAGGAGCACCAAAAACTGCAATGCCTGCAGCCGACACTGGCCAACAGAAAGGGCCCAATTCTTTTCCACAACAAGGCAGGACTGCACGTCGCACAACCAATGCTTCAAAAGTTGAACAAATTGGGCTACAAAGTTTTGCCTCATCTGCCATATTCACCTGACTCCTGGCCAACCAGCTACCACTTCTTCAAGCATCTTAACAACAACTTTTTGCAGGGATAATGCTTTCACAACCAGCAGGATGCAGAAAATGCCTTCCAAGAGTTTGTTGAACCCAGAAGCATGGACCTTTATGTTACAGGAATAAAAAAGCTTCTTTCTTGTTGGCAAAAATGTGTTGATTGCAATGGTTCCTATTTTGATTAATAAAGGTGTGTTTGAGCATAGTTATAATGATTTAAAATTCACAGTCTTGAAGCCACAATTACTTTTGCACCAACCTAATATTCATGAGTGGCAGCGAATGCAGGCGGGAAGTCAGTCACCACTTGCGGAAGGAAGCATGTGCCCTGAACTGATGGGTAGCCCCATCACTTCCAGGAAAGGCATGAGGGGATGGGCAAACCAAGTTTTAGGTTTTTCTTTATTTTATCCTCCTCTCCTAGAACACAGGTGGTAGTCAATAGACTTCTTTGAATGTTGCCTGGTAGGGAAAATTTTGGAGACTGGCTAGTGACAGAAAGGGGCCATGCCTATTTTTAACCGGAAGTGCGGTGTCTCACACACTCATCTTTAAGGAACAAAGTGTGGAATGAACAGAAACTTCATAACCGGCAGGGTTTTTTTTTTTTTTTCCCACTTCTCAAAAATCATACATGCAAAAAACACTGAGAGTTAGGAGCTGAAATGAACCACTTGGTTCGAGTTTCCCTTCTAGGGAAAGGTATGTCTCAAAACAGTCACCAATGTGGGACTCTTATAATGAATGATCTTTTATCCGGAGATGTAGCGGGTAGACGTAGGCTGCCAGTCACCACGTTTCTACCTGTGTCGTGACTGAGGGGAGGAGCGCCCTCCTTAGTGGTGGAGAGCCCAGAACATCAACACCTTCCATGCAGAAGCATTATTCAGCTTTTGGCTCTGACATCCTAAGTGTCCTATCTTGTCCGATTTCAAAAATAATTGTATGATCATTTAAAAACCCTGAATTTGACCAGGGCTGGTCTTTCATGGGGCCAAGGTGGCAGCCACCTGTATGGAAAATGATCTGAAGAGCAACGAAATCATCTCCCTGGATGGTCCTCAGAAGTCTCAGTTAGATCTTTCTTTTGGGGCATGTTATATATCTAAAGGCTCCTTGCTGAAATAAAAAAAATCTCACCTGGAAGAAGCAATATAAGAACACATTAGTGCCTATTAATTTGTGATAGTTTATCCCATAAGCACCCGAGGGAATAAAATGGTGAGAAGGAGTTCCTGTTCCTACTATCAAGGGACTACATAGTGGTAGCAAAGCTGACTCCTCAAGGAAACCTTCCAGGAAGCTGAGTGTCCAAATTGTTGAAAGTTTAGGATCATGAATGCTGGATACTTATTCAAGGGTTGAGATGGAAAGCCTGACCCCACCCTTGGCCTTTCAAATGATGAGTTGGTTGGAAACTACGGGGCACCTTTTCTCTAAGGGCAACTCACTCCAACTTAGAAGTGGAGCTTGATTGTCTGCTTATCTGCAGGCAACGTCATAATAGCACACCCTTTATAAGGCACAATGTGCTTTCTTGAACGGATCTGGGAAGGAGAATGCTGGGGAAGAAAGCTGGGGTGGAAGCTTGTTTTCCAGTTTTCTGACTTCCCTCTTGCCAGGTGCTGTGGACCAAATGTGTTTTTCTGGGCTCTCCTGTCCCTTGCTTCTGCTGAGATGACTCCACAAGAAAATGAGATTTCTTTGAAAGTGTAACGAGCATGTGCCAGCAGGAGTGGCTGGCTTCTTGGGAGATTTGCTAAGAAAAATTCCCAGTCTCTATTCTGGAATGTAGTTGGTGGCTCAAGATGGCCAACATCACTGAATTTTTAGTAATATCATCAATGGCTACTGCAAGTTGTACGGCCAACTTGCCAACCGATTACATCCTTGAATTAACGTCTTCTCTCCCCGACCCCGCAAACATACACTCTTGGTGGCCACTCTTGCTTGAATAGTCGTTAGTAGGACTGTTTCTTTTTTTTTTTTTTTTTTTTGAGATGGAGCTTTGCTCGTTACCCAGGCTGGAGTGCAATGGTGCGATCTTGGTTCACCGCAACCTCCGCCTCCTGGGTTCAGGCAATTCTCCTGCCTCAGCCTCCTGAGTAGCTGGGATTACAGGCACGCGCCACCATGCCCAGCTAATTTTTTGTATTTTTAGTAGAGACGGGGTTTTACCATGTTGACCAAAATGGTCTCGATCTCTTGACCTCGTGATCCACCGGCCTCAGCCTCCCAAAGTGCAGGGATTATAGGCGTGAGCCACCGTGCCCTGCCTTAGTAGGACTGTTTCTATGCCTCAAGAGAGGTGCACAGTTACTGTCTTACAGACCAA